CCTAGGCATCTGCCCTAACCAAGGATCAAACCAGTGACCTCCCAGTGCATGAAACAATGCTCAATCCACTGAGCCACACTGGCTGGGCTTACACTATTTTTCTAAAGCTTCCTCATTTCTCATAGTCTTCATAGTATTTAAGAGAGTTAGAACCTTGCTCTGGATTAGGCTTTGGCCTACAGCAGCAATTTTCAACCAGTGTGCAGCATGAATTTTTAAAACATGCAATACCTGACCTCTTTTCCTGAGATTGTAAAAAAAATGGCAATACCCAACACAACAATAGCCACCTGCTGTGAAGGAATCAAAGTCATACTATTTTTTGTCATATTGGAAAAAAAATTTTTTGTGTGTGCCACAGAATTTTAGTAATTAGTTTATGTGTGCCATGAGATGAAAAAGGTTGAAAATCCCTGGCTTAAGGGCATGTTGTGGTTTTTTTGATTTTCTATCTAGACCACTAAATCTTTCTCCACATCAGCAATAGGCTGTTTAATTTCTTATCACTTATGTATTCACTGAAATAGCACTTTTAATTTTCAACAAGAACTTTTCCTTTGCATCACAACTTGACTAACTGTTTGGGGTAAGAGGCCTCACTTTCGGCCTGTCTTGGTTTTTGACATGCTTTCCTTACTAAGCCTAATTGTTTCTAGCTTTCGATTTAAAGTGAGAGACGTGTGACTCTTTCCCTTACTTAGAGGCCAAGGTAAGATGATTAATTAGCCTCATTACTATATTGTATTGTCTCTCAGGGTGTTGGGAGGCCTGAGAAGAGGAAAGGAAATGGGGAAATGTGGAGCAGTCAGAACACACACACATCATTTATCAATTGTTCGCCCTCTTCTATGGGCACAGTTCACGGTGCCCCCAAACAACGACAGGGGTAACATCAAAGGTCACTGATCACACATCACCATAACAAATGTAATAATAATGAAAACTTTTGAAACATTGTGAGAATTACCAAAAGGTGGCACAGAGATACAAAGTGACAAAAGTTGTTGGAAAGATGGTGCTGATAGATTTCCTGAATGCAGGGTTGCCATAGACCTTAAATTGATAAGAAATGCGACATCTGCAAAGCTCTTGATGAATAATCTTTTTTTTTTTTTCTTTCTAACGTGAGGAAACGTGAGGGAGCATGAGGGAGCATCGATGAATAATCTTTTGAAAGTTGTAGACTATATTTTGGGCAAGGGAACTCCTCTATAGCAGTCTGTGTTTTAAAATGCTTCCCACCCCTTTTTTCCTTTAGTCTCTGTGGGTAGTATTTTAGTTATCTCCTGGGGTGTTTACATTTAAAAGATGTGATAAGATTTACAACTTCCAGGGACAATTGGACACAGACACTAGGGGATGAGGGCATGTGTTGGGGAGAAGGGGTGACTGGGGAGAGGTTAATGGGAGGGAAAAGAGACATATGTAATACTATATGTAATATTTTAAACCAGTGGTTCTCAACCTTCTGGCCCTTTAAATACAGTTCCTCATGTTGTGACCCAACCATAAAATTATTTTCGTTGCTACTTCATAACTGTAATGTTGCTACTGTTATGAATCGTAATGTAAATATCTGATATGCAGGATGGTCTTAGGCAACCCCTGTGAAAGGGTCGTTCGACCTCCAAAGGGGTCACGACCCACAGGTTGAGAACCACTGTAGTTTAAACAATGAAGAATTAAAAAAAAAAAAAAAAAAAAAAGGATGGCCCTAACCAGTTTGGCTCAGTGGATAGAGCATCAGACTGCAGGTCCCAGGTTCATTTCAGGTCAAGGGCATGTACCTTGGTTGCGGGCACATCCCCAGTAGGGGGTGTGCAGGAGACAGCTGATCCATGTTTCTTTCTACCCCTTCCCTTTCTCTCTGTAAAATAATCAATAGAATATATTTTAAAAAAAGAATGCAAGATTTCTCCTAGGAATTTTGGGGTGTATTTCTCTATTACCAGAAATCTAATTGCTACTTAAAATTTTACGGTTTGGACAGCATGTCACTCTGTTTCACTGTCAATCACCCTGACATCCTCCTTTTTAGTCTTCTCAGTTTCCCAGGGATTCTACTTCTCAGCATCCTAATCAGTGTTCAGACCCTAATCTGTGACAGTTTGCACACTCCTGGCTTTGCAAAATAGCATGCTAAGTCCTCCAATTTATTATTCTGCTCCCCCACCTTGTCTGTTAGCCCCGAAGATAACAGAGTAGTGGACACCTGTATGACTTTCTCTAACTTTAGCTTTTCTTTAAAACACACACACACACACACACACACACACACACACACACACACACACATTATTGATTTTCAGAGAGGAAGGGAGAGGGAGTGAGAGATAGAAACAAAAATGATGAGAGAGAAGCACTGCTTGATTGCCTCCTGCACACCCCACACTGGGGATTGAGCCCGAAACCTTGGCATGTGCCCTGACTGGGAATCAAACCGTGACCTCCTGGTTCATAGGTGGATGCTCAACCACCGAGCCACGCTGGCCGGGCTAACTTTAGCTTTTCTTCTAACTTTCTAGCTCCAGCTTCAGACTCTAGCTGGACATTGGTTGCCAGCCTAACTGTCCACAGTAGAGGCCAGCCCACGGCGGCAGCCATTTGTTTCCCTTCTTTGCCATCAAACCAGCTGGTATTTGTTTCCCCTCTTTCCCCTCAAACAAGCACATCAAACCAGCTGGTATTTTCAGAGTGTCCTCGTACTCATGTGGCTGTCCATTAGCATCTGATATGGGGGCTACCTCTCCCCACATAGAGGTCAATGTCAGACTTGGAATTTCCCCCATGGAAGTCTCTTTCCTAAGGCCCATTTCTTCAGTCTTCTGACTGGCTTGCCAATTGTTAGTTGTGAACTGACCCCCCTACATGGAGGGCAAGGAAAGTTCTAAGAAAAAGGCAGAGCACTCCAAATGATAGGCGGTACTTTTTTTTTCCTTTTTTTTTTTTAGAGAGAGAGAGAGAGTGGGAGGAACGGGGAAAGACAGAGAGAAACATCAATGTGAGAGAGACATATGGATTGCCCTCTGGCACAACCCTGGAATCAAACCCAGGACCCTTCAGTCTGCAGGCCAATGCTCTAGCCACTGAGGAAAACTGGCTAGGGCGATAGATGGTGCTTTTAATGAACAGGGGAACTTACCGATGGGGCTTATCTTGAGTGGCACCAATACAAGTGAATCACCCCCTTCCCCCCAAAAAAATGTTAAGTTTATATAGAGCCTTTAACTGGGCCCAGTATACCATCCAGAAGGGTCTCAATACCACATTATTACCTCAAGGCTATGTCCTTGGGGCAGCTTCTAGCAAGTAAGGGGCAAGTGGAATGCACATTCCAAAGACAGGGGAGGGGCAAGGAGCCTCTGATTGACTGGGTCCAGCTCACAGGTCAACTGGCAGTCATATACTTCCATTGACCTCCTCCAACAGAGCCTCGTACATGCTCCACCGAAAACTGGAAATCTATTTATTTATGTTGTTTTTCCCCCAGTTTATTTTGTCTCTGTATTCAATTGGGTAATTTCTACTATTCTGTATTTCAAATTACTGATTTCTCTGGGCTCTCGACATTCTGTTGTTTAGCCCATCCACTGAGCTTTTCATTTTGCTTATTATATTTTTCAATTATAAATGTCCATTTGTTTCTGTTTTATATCTTTAAGTTCTTTGCTGAGATTTTCTATTTCTTTGCTGAGGCCTTCTATTTTATCACTTGGTTCAAACATGTTTGTACTTTCTTGTTATAGCATCTTTGTCATTGTTTCTTTAAAATCTTGGTCAGATAATTCTAATATTTCTGTTTTCTTGGTATTGGCATGCATTTATTATTTTTTGAAATTAATTATGAGAACTTTGCAGTTCTTAGATTTTTCCATTGAAATCTGCCCTTGGAATCTGGACATTTTTGTATTATATTCTGAGCATCTAAATTTTATTTCAACCTTCTGTTTTAGCTGGCTTTTCCTGACACCACTCTGGAAGGAATAAGGTGGCCGTGCTTTGTACTGCCTGATGTAGATAGACTTGATCTTGATATCTAATGGGTGGGGCTCCTTGTTACCTCTGGACAAAGTTGGGAGTTCCAGTTTCCAAGTGGTTCCTTATTTTTTTTCCAGAGTTATTGAGATATTATTGACATGTAAGTTTAAGGACTACAGGGTGATGAGTTGATACAGGTACATTTCAAAGTGATTACCACAATGAGGTTAATTACCTCCATCCCCTCACATAGTTACATTTTATGTGTGATAGTAAATTTTAAAATATACTCTATTAACAACTTTAAATTATGTAATACAGTCAAAAAAGTAAATTATGTAATACAGTCTTATTAATTATAGTGACTAAACTGTACATTAGATTCCCAGAACTTATTCATCTTAGAGCTGAAAGTTTATACCCTTTGACCAACATCTCCCCATCTCCCACCCCCAGCCTCTGGCAACAACTATTGTATACACTGTTTCTATGAGTCTAGATTTATTTATTTAATTTTAAAATAATTTTATTTTTCAATTACAGTTTACATTCAATATCACTTTGTTTTAGTTTCAGGTGTACAGCGTAGTGGTTAGCCAATCATATACTTTATAAAGTGATCCCCCCAATATTTCAAGTACCCACTGGGAACCATCCACAGTTATTACAATATAATTGATCATATTCCCTATCCTTACTTTACATCCACAGGATAATTTTATAACTTCCCATTTATAATACTTAATCCCTTCATCTTTTTCACTAGGCCCCCGAATCCCCTTCCCTTCTGATAACTATCAGTCTGTTCTTTGTATCTCTGAGTATGTTTCTATTTTTTATTGTATGTTTCTATTTTTTTATTATTTTGTTTTTTAGATTCCACATGTAAGTGAAATCATATGGTATTTGTCTTTCCAAGTCTGACTTGGTTTTCATGTGGTTCCCCTTGATGCTCAATTGTAACATACATTTTGTAAATTACTTTTCTTATATTGCACCTACATGTTCTTCGGTCAATACAGAGAGAGATTGGAGCTGCTGCCCAAAGAATTGGAAGTCATTCAGTTTGAACTGCTACTTTATTTCTACTGACACCAAAACTTGGACAGAGAGTAAAAACAGCTGCTTAGCAATGAATTCTCACCTGCTGGTGATCAACACCAAGGAAGAGCAGGTATGTTCTAATAGATAATGAGGTAAGCAATCCTGCCTGGGTTTTGTACACCTATCTTGCCTAAGGAGGATGCTTTCATTGTTTCAGCATATTGGTGCTGTGGCAAAAGGCTTTCAATGAAATAGGAAAGGCTACTTAAGCCTCTGCATTTCACACCTTCTTCCTGCTTCCATAAAACTAAACTCCCCCAAAATAAATGAAGACATTTAAAATATAATATGTGGGAGTTGAGTGGAGAGATGAAAGTATTTCAGCCTGAAATATCAGTTTATTATTTTAACATGAAAATATTTTATAAATTACTTATTTATTTTTAATATATATATTTTTTATTGATTTCAGAGAAAGGAAGTGGGAGGGAAAGAGAGATAGAAATACCAATGAAGAGAGAGGATCACTGATCGGCTGCCTCCTGTATGTCCCACACTGGGGATTGAGCCCACAAATTGGGCATGTGCCCCAACTGGGAATCGAACCTTGACCTCCTAGTTCATAGGTCGATGCTCAACCACTAAGCCATGTCAGCTGGGCTATAAATTATTAACTAACAGAGAAGTGGTATTAAGTAAAATAGTGGAATAAAATATATAAAAGAATCTCTAAGGTTGTGAAAAGAAAAGGATTTAATATGCAAAAAGTTTACTCATGCATAAGTTCGAAGAATAGCCTCTCTTAGTAAATAAAAGATTGGGAGTGAGTCTGAGAATTCATTATGATTATGGCTAGAAATCACTTCCATATGTATTGAACATTGCTATGTTCTGAATGCGTGTGTCCTCTCCAAATTTACATGTTGAAACTCTAACTCCCAAAGGCGATGGTATTAGGAATTGGGGGTTTGGGGTGGTGCATAGGCCATTAGGGTGAAGCCATCATAAATCAGGTTAGTGTTCTTATAAAAGAGACTCCAAACAGCTGCCCCGCCTTCCACCATGTAAGGACACAGCCAGAAGGAGTCAGCTATGACCCAGGAAGAGGGATTTGCCCAATCATGCTCTTACCCTGATTGGGGATTCCAGCCTCCAGATCTGTGAGAAGTATGTGTGTTGTTTATAAGCTACCCAGTCTGTGGTCTTTCGTTGTAGCAGCCTGAATAGATGCAGACAAACAGTAGGCTCACAGGATGTCCATGACCCTGTACTGCAGAGCCAGAGAAGGCCTGGCCTCCTGGGCAGGGCCTCCTGGCTCTTCCTGGCTCCTCTTCTTCTCTTCTCTCTCCCTGAGGCCATAAAGAACTCAGTTCAACCTGAGTAATCCAAAGGCCATAACTCCTTCTTTTTTATTTTCTAAGGATTTTATCATTCAGAACCTGGATAAAAGCAAAGCGTATTATGTGGGGCTGTCAGACCCAGAGGGTAACAGAGACTGGCAATGGGTTGATCAGACACCGTACAATGCAAATGCCACGTGAGTATAGAATTTGATCAAGGAATCCTGAGTCCTGGATCATCAGACATTTTAGAGTGTCCAAAGTATCGGGTTTGAAAATAAAATAGCTCAGGCTTCTTGTAACGCTTGGCACCAAGTTAAATAATTTTATTTATTATCTCATTGAATCATCACAAGAACCCTATGGAGCACAGATTATTATTTTTTCATTGTAGAGCTGAGAAAACTGAGTTAGAGAGTTTAGATAACTCAGCATATGTTATTTGGCACTGGTGACAATGGTCCTTAAACCCAGGTCTATTTGATACCAAAGTTTGTATGTTTTATTTTTAAGTCCCCTCACCTCCTTAAATAAGTTTCAATTGATTTCTGAGAAAGCAAAGGAGAAGGAGAGAGGGACAGAAACATAAATGATGAGTGTGAATCTATTGGTTGCCTCCTGCATGTCCCCAATGGCAATTGAGCCCACAACCCAGGCATGTGCCCTGACTGGGAATTGGACTGTGACCCTGGTTCATGGGTCGATGCTCAACCACTGAGCCACACCAGTTGGGCCAAATTCTGTGTGTTTGATCACACATTTGTATCTCTAAATAAACACATAGTCATGTTAATTGAAATCATAACCAATTGTTAATACAGTAGGTCCTCGGGTTACGTGGGAGATTGGTTCCTATGGCGCGACTTAACGTGATTTTCGCTGTAAGTGGGAACCCACCTACATAAGCACCTACATCACTCACATGGAGCAATACACAGCAGTAAATGAAGTGAAACAGTAAAAAACATTTAAAAGAAAGAAAGATAAGAATTCCTGACCTTTATGATAAATAATAAAAAACATAAAGCACATATGTACATAGTACATACATCGAAATGACGGAACTTTCTTTTTATAAATAAATGGGAAATGGCTGCGTAACCACGAAACGATGTACATCGAGTCCGCTGTAACCCAAGGACTGTCTGTATTTATTATCTCTCATAAAGCAAATGAACTAAATTCTGATAGTTTTACAATATCCCATATTTGTGTAGGTCCTTTAAAACTCTTAAGCACTTTAGTACATTTCTATTTTTAAAAATTTATTTTTATATTTTTGTTAATACTCACCTGAGGATATTTTTCCATTATTTTTAGAGAGAGTGGAAAGGAGGGGGAGAGACAGTGAGAGAGAAACATCGATGTGAGAGATATGTATTGGTTGCCTCACGCACACGCCTGGCCCTGCACTGAGCCAAACCGGCCAGGGCAGTACATTACTATTTTTGATTCTTATATCAACTGCATGAAATATATAAGAATCTTACTCTATTCTTTATTTTTTAGATATGTAAATAAAGGAAATTAAATAACATGTCCAAGAAAACAGGAATCAGCAGATTCATAGATTTTAACTATTTCTTTAGACTCCAAAGCAGTTAGTTAGAAAAAACAAAAGAACAAACTACATTAAGACTTGGGACCAGAGTAAACTGTCATCATTTAAGGAAGCCTGTGGCTGACAGTCCCCTAGAACAGGGCATGGACAAATAGAAGGGCCCCTGGGATATCTGCTGGGAAGGTGTTTAATGCAATAAGATGACACCATACTGGGCAGTGTGTAGGCACAATTTTCAAGGGAAATGCCAAAGACACAGATGGAGAAAAAAACCTGCCTAATAAGTAGAAGAGAAATGATTGGGCACATCTGCTTTGACTTCTGTACAGTTTAACCCCAGCCTCCTACCTCACTGTCTCTAACCCTTCTCATTATTTGAAGTCATATCCACATTTTCCCCCTTTCAGATTCTGGCATCCAGGCGAACCCAATTATCAGTGGGAGCGCTGTGTTGTACTGAATCATCGTTCACAGAGATCGTGGGGCTGGAATGATGTTGAGTGTGAGAAACCTCACTGGTCAATTTGCAAGATGATGAAGATCCACTTATGAGTAGGAAATTCTCCATGAACATGCGGTTGAATTAGAAGCCACCAATAAAGAGTTAAATAATTTTCTTTTTAGAATTCATGTGTTAGCTTGTGTAAGTGATCTCCAGAGAATTTTCCAATAGGCTGTTACCTATTCAACTTATATAAAATAAGTGTACATATCAATTCATGTATTCATTCACACAATGAACACCTATGGAGCATTTTATAGTATACTGTATACTGGAGAGCCTATCTGCAGACAAATGGAGGGAGCATGAGCCTCCTCCCCCAATTTTTGTCTAATTGTTAAGATTTATCAGGTGTGGGAAAAGTCTGGCCCACAGGCCATATAAGGCACCATAAATCATTTGGTCTGGCCCTGCCAAGGCATTAAGGGGTGAGTTAATTAAATGTTTGACACATTTAATTATGTTTACATACAGCAAGCTTATTTTTAAGTTGATAATTTTATATGGCCCAAGAATGATGTTATAAATATCCAAATGGCCATTGACAAAAAAAGGTCCCCCGCCCCTGAGTTAGATACTGATACAATATGATGTGGCTTCTCCATTTATCTGGATTTATCTCTTTACTAGAGGCCCGATGCATGAAATTCATGCAAGGGGCTCGGCCCTCACAGCCCTGGCTGCCTTGGGCTTTGCAGCCTCAGCTACCTTTGCCCTTGCAGCCGTGGCTTCATCCCGAAGGTTGTCTGGACTGTCATTCCGCCGTCTGGTTTAATTAGTATAATTAGCTCTTTATTATATAGGATGGGCTGCTCAAAAGCAAAACAGTACTAACCATTCCATTCCATTTCTCTCAGACAGATTCATTATTTTCACTAAAAACATATTACATAACATTTGGAATATGATGCACATCAATGGAGGATAAGTTTCAGCTTTGGCCCAGTAGGCTCTTGTGCTTCTTAACATTCTCTGTTTGGACTTGAAGTGTCATTTAATATCAGAGTTCAGGCATAGGATAATCAGAGATTGAGAATTGGGTATTCAGAATTAGGGAAATAGAAGTCATTACTGGTGCAAAAACGGAGCCACTTTAAAATGGAGTCAGAGCTGCCACCCCATTGAAACTGCCTTGCAGGTCATCCTTCTCAAACCTTTGGAGTATTAAAACTTGCAAAATAACCTTTGGCCTGGGCCTAAAACAGCACTGTATCTCAAACGACTCTTGGCAAAAAAACAACAAAACAACAATAAAGAAAACTGATATAATGACTCCTGACTAAACATTAAAGAAATTCTTCAGAATTAGCATCACTATGTTAGTCTGTCTGCACATATAGTAATCCCTTGCTTTTATCCATATATTTGTTCCTATTACTTTCTCAAATACCCCTTGCCATCTACTCCTACTAAGAATACAAAGTTTCTTTCTGAATCAATCAGTGCTTCCAGAATAGCCTTTGGATCCCAAATAAATGGATTTTTGCTTCTCACTTTGACCTTTTATTTTTAGGTTAACACTGGTGAGTTGACATAGGTTTGTATTCATTAGGTTTTCTGATACTTTTTTCTTTAAGTTTTATAAATTCCATGTGTGGATTGTCACTCAAAATGACTCCTGGCATATTTGTGTCCCCCTTTTTACTAAAGTTCTTACACATTAGTTTCTTTCTAAAACAATATAAAATATATAATATTTACAATAATGCCTGCAATTCATGCTTTATTATAGCAGTTATAATCATGATAAAGCTGATTTTCTCTATGACTACCCCCATGTGGCCTTTAATTATACCCTGATTTTCTTCATTTAACAGTGTAGTTAATTATATTTACCACTCATTGCTTGCCTATATCTCAATTGAGTTATTTTTAAAATTCTTTATTGTTTAAAGTATTACGTATGTCTCCTTTTCCCCCATTGACATCTCCCAGCCATTCCCACCCGCCCTCACCCCCCTACTGTCTGTGGCCATGGGTTCTGCTTATATGCATGCATACAAGTGCTTTGGTTGATCTCTTACCCTGCTTCCCCCTTCCCCCCATCTCCTACCTTCCATCTGAGGTTGGAAGGTCTGTTTGATGCTTCTGTCTCTGGATCTATTTTTGTTCATCAGATTATGTTGTTCATTATATTCCACAAATGAATGAGATCATAATATTTATCTTTCTCCAACTGGCTTATTTCACTTAGCATAATGTTCTCCAGGTCCATCCATTGCTGTTGCAAATGGCAAGAATTCCTTCTTTTTTACAGCAGTGTAGTACTCCATTGTGTAGATGTACCAGTGTTTTATAATCCATTCATCTGCCGATGGGCACTTAGGTTGTTTTCAAATCTTAGCTATGGTAAACTGTGCTGCTATGAACATAGGGATGCACATATCCTTTCTGATTGGTATTTCTGATTTCTTGGGATATATTCCTAGAAGTGGGATTAGTGGGTCAAATTGGAGTTCCATTTTTAATTTTTTGAAGAAACACCATACTGTTCTCCACAGTGGCTGCACCAGTCTGCATTCCCACCAGAAGTGCAAGAGTGTTCCTTTTTCTCCGCATCCTCGCCAGCACTTGTCATTTGTTGATTTGTTGATGATAGCCATTCTGACAGGTGTGAGATGGTACCTCATTGTCGTTTTGATTTGCATCTCTCAGATGATTAGTGATTTTGAGCATTTTTTTCATATGTTTCTTGGCCTTCTGTATGTTCTCTTTCGAAAAGTGACTATTTAGGTCCTTTGCCCATTTTTGATTGGATTATTTATCTTCCTTTATCAGGGTTATATCCTCTTGTTGTATCGATCCCTTTAGTATTATGAAGTGGTCTTCCTTATCTCTTGTTATGGCCTTCACTTTGAGGTCTTTTGTCAGATATAAGTATTGCTACCCCAGCTTTTTTTTTCATTTCCATTTGCCTGAAAGATATTTTTCCATCCCTTCACTTTCAGTCTGTGTGAGTCTCTTCTTCTGAAGTGGGTCTCTTGTTGACAGCAAATGTATGGGTCATGTCTTTGTATCCATTCAGTCACTCAATGTCTTTTGATTGGAGCATTTAGTCCATTTATGTTTCAAGTTATTATTGAAAGGTACTTGTTTGTAGTCATTTCTATTTTTGTGCCTGTGTTCTTTCTTACCTTTTAATTTCTTCTCTTTACAGCATTCCCTTTAGCATTTCTTGCACGCTGACTTGGTAGTGATAAACTCCCTTAGCCTTTTTTTGTCTGTGAAGCTCCTGATTTCCCCTTCAATTTTGATTGATGGTCTTGCTGGATAGAGTATTCTTGGATTCACACCTTTGCTTTGCAACACTTTGTATACCTCCTTCCATTCCCTTCTAGCTTGGTGTGTTTCTGTTGAGAAATCATTTGATAATCTGATGGGGGATCCTTTGTATGGCTCTGCCTGCGAGCCTGCGGGGAGGGGAATGGGCTGTTACTCACAGAAATCTGCCGCGGGGATGTCTGGATTCTTGGTGTCTGTGGGTCTGTAGCTTTGATCGCAGATCTCTGTCCCCAGTGGCTGCAGGGTCCTGGTTTGCGTCTGAGACCAGAATGGGTGGTGCTGAGGCCAGGATCCTAGTCTCAAGCAGCTCTGTTTCTCAAGATGGCGTGGTCTCTGTGCCCGCGCTGGCCTCCCAGGAGTGTCAGCGCTGGGAGCGGGGCTCCGCCGCCTAAGACTGCGCGGTTTGGCAGCCCCTTGGAAGACCTGCAGAATCTAACTGTCCTTAGCTCATACACACACACCACACACGTCCACACACTCTATCGCTCCCTCGCTCTCTCACACTCTCTCCCTCCCTCCCTTCTTGCCAGCCGCCATCTTCTTCTCTCTCACAAACACTAATTTCTAATAGAGCGATCCAATACAGCTTTCTTATAAAGGGATTTAATTCAAATTGCTGATTCACCGATGTTAGCCCCTTTATAAGAATTCAAGGCATGCCATAACCGGTTTGGCTCAGTGGATAGAGCGTCGGCCTGTGGACTGAAGGGTCCCAAGTTCGATTCCAGTCAAGGGCATGTACCTTGGTTGCAGGCACATCCCCAGTAGAGGGTGTGCAGGAGGCAGCTGATTGATGTTTCTAACTCTCTATTCCCTCTCCCTTCTTCTCTGTATAAAATCAATAAAATATATTTAAAAAAAAAGAGTTCAAGGCAAAACAGAAGATTATTTACTTTGTCTAATAGTATATGATTTTATATTCAATCAATACTAGTTACTGTCGTCTTTATTGCTAGTTTTTGTATTACTTTTCACCAGACTCAAACATCCTAAATGTATTTGTACATCTAACCTGAACCTATTCAGAGTTTGGCTTTTGTTCCAATTTACCATTCTCCCTATGAATATTTGTCTTATTTTATATTTTGATGTATTGCTCTTTTGTGATTTTGCTACTACCATTCAAAAGTTTGCCAGTAGCTACCTAGAAATATATATGGAACAGAGGAATGGAAAAAAGCAAAGAAAATGGAGCACAGGGTTGCAAATGGTCAAGATCGTTATTTGATTAGGAGAGCCTGTATTGGAGATGAGCAAGGAATCAGAGGTCTTTAACTTCCTTTTTCTATATATAGCTAAGGAGAATGTTTTCTTTTCCTGGACCACCAAGTGACTCAATGCATGGGTTGTTTTTCTTCATTTCTCAAGAAAACTAAAAACTGATGATGATGTTAACAATCATTCTTCTACTCTTCTTATGACTTGTTGCCTCTCAAATCCATTTTCCGGGTTTTCATTACTGTTCTCAATGTCATTTTATCATTAGCTATAGAACTATTCTATCACTTAGATTGAGTTGAGTGGAAACCAGGTTGGATTCAATATTCCTCTATTCATAGCAGGTATTTTGTGTTCAAGACTGCTCATGTGAGAATGTTTGTGATGTTAGTAGAAAGAAAGGTCTACATTCCAGATTAACAACAAGGAATTCATGAAGCCTGCCTCTGATGTTATACAACTTCTAATTGCACCTAATCCAGGAGATTATAAATATCACTAACTTCTGCCTAATATTGGTCTTGATGCAATAAAAATATTTACGTTTGCAGCTAGATTCCAGAAACTGCAATTTTGCCATCATGTTCCTATAAAATGTCCA